CTCGAACTCACAGAGATCCGCCTGCCTCTGCCTCCCGAGTGCTGGGATTAAAGGCATGCGCCACCACCGCCCGGCTTATGGTGTCTCTTTATAGCAATAGAATACCAAGAAAAGGAGGAAAGAGTTTATTTGGCTTACATGTCCATTGAGGGATACCAAGGCAGGAACTGAAACTGGACAGGGATCTGGAGTCAGGAGCTGATACAAAGGTTATGGAGGATTCCTGTTTACTCGCTTGTTCCTTATGACTTGCTTAGATACCATTCTTGTACAACCCAGGACCACTAGTACAGAGGTGATGCCACCCACAATGGGCTGGGCCCTCCCACATCAATTACTAATTAAGAAAAGTCCCTCAAGGCCTGCCTACGGCCTGATCTTATGGAGGCATTTTCTCAACTGTGGTTCCCTTCTCTCATATGACTCTAGCTTAGGTCATGTTGATTTAAAAAAAAAAAAAAACTAGTGAGCACAATTAACCCTTGGTCAACTTGGCTTTCAACTGTCACTTTTAAGCTCTAACCTTTCCTTTCATGTTCATCTCCAAGATACACTAATATCAACATCACAGCATAAAATATTTACAAACTTAAAAGTCCCACAGTCTTTACAAATTAAAATACTTTCAAATTCTGTTTCTTTAAGATTCAAAAGTGTCTTCTAAAGTCCAAAATCTCTTTAAAATTTCAAAGTCCCTTAGCTGTAGTCTCCTGTGAAATCAAAAATAAAAACTTTTCTACTTCAAGAAGGAAGAACCAGGGGACTGTCTCAATCTGAACAAAGCAAAATAAAATTCCAACTGTGTAAATATCTCAGTGTCCAATGTCTGGAATCCATTCATGATCTTCTGGGGTTCTCTGCAGGGCTTGCACACCTAATAATAGCACAGTAAATGTATCTTTTAGGCTTAGGATGGCTCCAGTCCTCAGCTGCTGCTGTCCCATGGTACTGGCATCTCCCAAATGCTGAGGTCTCCTTCTATAACTTGTAATATAGCCTAGTCTTAGATCAGCATATGACTACCTGTCCAATGGGTTTCTACAGGGCAAGGCACCTGTGGGGGTGGGGGGGAAATGGATTCTTACTTGGCAAGGACCCATAGTCCATGGGACAGCATAAGAATTTGCAAAATTTGTGCAGCTTGCAGGCTTTTTTCTCTCTCATTATATTGAGGTTTTTTTTGTTTTTTTTTTTTGGTAGTTTTTAGTTTTACTTTGTCAGTCACACATGCGATAGCTGTAGTTTTCCCTGGAGATTCTACTGTTGCTCAAATATTTTCCCCTAAGATTTGCCAGGGGACTAATGCTTCTGAAATCTCTCATCTGGAATTACTAAGTACAATTCCTAATCCTGAGAACTTTTATGGCTCAATAGAGATAGTTAGATACATATGAGAAAATGACACTTGAAACATTAACCATGTCTCACAATTCTGGAAAAGAGAGCAAGGCATGCATACACAGAAAAGGAGAAAGGCCTCAGGAATACACACAGTGCCAGCTGTTGAGAATAAGTTCCCTAGACACCAAGTATAAAATCACTGGTAGGATCTGGTATGCTCCAAGAGGAAAAAAATACAGTGCAAAAATGTAGAATGGATAGATCCATCTTTACCATACAGAGGAGCTTATATTGGTAGAAGAAGTATGGTATAGTGAGATGGGAAGGGTGCTTTATTGAGGTCTGCCTTTTACAGAGAGAATGAGACATGGGACCCTCTTGTAGAAAAGGGAACTGTATAAAAATATATCTTATAGACACAAAAGAATTGTCTGGGTTTGAATATTGTGCCTGTGTCTATTATTTTTTAACTTTCAAACCACAAATAGCTGTAAGCTGGCATAAGTACTATGATATCAGAATGTGTCTGACTAAATATTTAGTTAAGCCTGCAAAATGCTGAACTCTATGTCTAGAATATGGTTACATAGGGAATGGGAAGATGTATTTGGGGAAGTATAAAGGGGAACAATTGGGGCTTTCATAATGATCACAATGTATTTCTTAAATTATGGTTTACTTCTTAAAGTCAAAAATACAAGCCAAAAATAAAGCTGTTCATATAACCCTGGTTAAAAAAATTACAAAAACAAAAAACTCTGTTTAAGTATAAATAAAGATAACCTGAGCTATTCAGGGCCACTTGAGTACAACCCACTTGGTGGTCAGAAGTTTTCCTTGCACCAATGCCCCTTCCTTATGTCAAGACTTGAACCTGAGCCAAGGCTCGACCTTGGTAGTAACTGAGCAGCACTTTGATCAATACCTCTCCTGGATTTTCTTCATGGTGCCGAGCTTCATAATCTCTGCATGACCCTTTAATCCTGGGTCTTCAACTGCTACTGAGGCTGCACTTTCACCAATGGCCTCTCCTGACATCTTACAGTTTTAAGGCTCAGCTGCTCTCCATGATTCCTTTATGACTTCAAAACCAGTATTACCTGGGAGAATCTTACACATGACCAAGTATGGCTACCAACACGAGGTACAACATGGACCACCTCTGGAGCAGAGCTTCTGAGTACGGACTCTAAGGAAACATCCCCTAGAAGATTTCACCTCAATGGTGCTTGTCTCTTTCTTATCACTGTTAATTTCTCAGCTCTAGCTGACCAGCATAAATTGTCCCAGCAAAACATAGGTTTCTTTTCACAAGCCAGGCCTCCATCATCTTAACTTTCAGCAGCAGCATCCAAGGTCTTCCTGAACAGCCTACTGAGCTCTCAACACTCAATGGATTTTCTATCCCAAACTTCCAAAATTCTTTTATAATCCTCCCAAAACAACATAGTTAGGTCTGTCACAGCAATACCCACCTCCTGGTATCAATTTCTGTCTTGGGGTTACTATTTCTATGATGAAATACCATGACCAAAGGCAACTTGGGGAGGAAAGGGTTTATTTGGCTTATATTACCTGAGCCACAGTCCAGTGAGGGAAGCCAAGGCAGGAACTCAAACCTGGCACAAATCTGGAGGCAGGAACTTATGCAAAGTCCATGAATAATTGCTGCTTAGTGTTTTGCTCAGTCTGCCGAGAATGGGACACAAAATTTACACTGAAGGAAAAGTGCTACAGGTGAAAAAGAAAAGGTCAAGGGTGAGTTGGTCTGTCAGAGAAGCTAGAATGGGTAGGTCGTCATGAATCAGTGAGTATATATGGTGGACACAGAATGCTGAAGACATGACCACCCCACCTGGGAACCTACCTTTTTTAAAACTATACTGAGAAAGAGGAACTATCTAATGGAATCATGCAATGGTACACAGATTAAACTGTAAATTATAATGTCTGAGTTATCTGTTATATAGGAATATTAAAAAGATGATCCAGTTTTACACTAAAACAATCAGAAAACTGCTAGATCTTGCATGAAATTTTATTAAGACTTAAGGAAGACATAGCCCTGAGATCCTTGTTGTTCGAATCTTAGATGGTCTTTTAATAAAACACCCAGAGCCTGATATCAGGATGAAAGCTGAAGTTTAGGACAGCAGAGCAGCCAGCCACTAGTTCTTACCTCTACGAAATCCTCAGCCTAAAGAGAGTGAATTCCTGTTTCCTCATGCCTTATATGCCTTTCTCTGCTCTGCCATATTACTTCCTGGGGTTAAAGATATGTGTCACCACTGTCTGGTTCTGTTTCTCTCACATAGCCCAGTGTGGCCTTGAACTCAGAGATCCAGATGGATTTCTGCCTCCTGAGTGATAGGATTAAAGGTGTGTGCCACCACTGTTTGGCCTCTATGTCTAATCTAGTGACTGGCTCTGTCCTCTGATCCTCAGGCAGGCTTTATTAGGGTACACAATATATCACCACACCTGGTGGTATTCACTGAGTGACCTCCTACCTCTCTCTGTTATA